ACCGCCCGCCAAACGCTTGAAGTCGGCCAAATCCTCCAATTCGCTGTTGCACTAGGGGACACTATTATACTAAGCACAACAAAATCTCTCGTTAGCAAAGACACCTTTGGCTCATCCGGCTTTGTGTCGACGCTTTCCACTGCTTTGGTATCCTTTCTTGCAATGTAAATATCCATCAAGTACATGTGAAGCTCATGTCGACTTTATGTGAGAACATTACCAATTGCATTTACCAAACTAACAGCATAGATTGTTACCTACCACCACCGGAGGAATCAACTATAGCTTTATTGAGGCTTACAAATATATATATATATATTTACACTGCACATATCTTGTCACGTAACTATAACAGAAAGCACAAAAGTATATCCATACTGCATTCAAAAAGCAGTTGGGTCTTCAAGCTTCGTGTAGTCTTCGTGCTTGACATCCTCAGTGTCCTTTTCAATGCTGTTCTCGTCCGGAATGTAAAGCAAGAGCTGGCAGAAGCAACCCTGAAAGTCAATGCTTTCAAGCAATCCTTGACGGGCCGCGTCCTCAGCATCAAACTTTCCGACTCATCCGATGCGCCGGAGCCAAACATTCCAAAGCCGTCTGGTGCAAGCCCGCAAGATGAATTGGAAGAGGAGTTTGAGGCACTCCTCATGTCAATAGACGAGATTATTGTTGTGACTATGCATGATTGCAGGACCGTTGTTTCTTCCACAGAGAACACGTACACACACGAGAATATCTCCGATCGCAGCCCTGCACAGACAGGAAAAATCGATGCGAACAGTATGCATCTGCATCATCATGCTCCATGTTGCACCCAGCACAGTGCTGTCCGACATCGTAGGTTTGCAATCAAGGCAGGTTACATCCTAACAAATCTGCATTCTGCTCTTAAGCTGTTCAGCATCTCAAAGTTTTGTTTGCTTCCTTGTAGCTTTGTCCATCCATGGGAAAGGTGTTCAAGCAACCCATCATCCACAAGAAGGGTAAATTCCGTGCTGCCCAGAAGAAGCCTGCCATCAAAAAGGACAAGCTCTGGAAGGACACACCGTACGTCCGAGATCGGCTCCTGGTTGGTCCGCGTGGACAACGCAAGGACCAGGTTAAATGGCAACGCAATCTTCCTGAACTCCTAATGGCGAGCAACAAGAAGGTCATCACAATGCTTGTGGCGGACAAGATTTTGCCGAAATGGAAGGGCAAGACGTGTTCCCATTGTGAGGTTGGTATCTTGTCCGACCTTTGTGTGGAGAAGCGCACCGGCTTGTACAAACATCGGTGCAGCTCCCGCCATTGCCACCAGTACGTGAGCCCGCACCACTTACATCCGGTATTCACGGAAGGAAAAGGTTCAGCTTCACGGAGCCTTCAGATGCAAGCATCTCTTCTGCTACTCAAACTTCTGCGCGTGCCACATCCTACCATCCACGTCCTCTTGAATGTGAATCACAAGGCTATCGAAGACATGGAGAAAAGGATTTGCGATCTTCGTAAAGCATTCGTGGAAAAGCGCGAGAAAATTGTCGTGTTTGGCGATGGCAGGACCTGGAAAGACGTGGAAGCAGCAACTTGTCGACCACATTGTGTTTATGGTTTTATTATAACTGAAATAAGATCTTCTAATATTTGGGATAAAGCTTATGAAGTCATACATAATTAGACGATGGTCTCAGACGTTCAGCAAACACACATGCAAGGACGAAGCCACATTTGACAGAAGGGATATTTCCCAGGATGTGAACTTCAAGCACCTGGTGATGAACAACAAAACCACTACCATGTGGGAACAGTGGGCGGGAGTAATCCAGCGAGGCCGCCCTGAAACGCTCATACTCTCCAGGTTGAAGCCGAAACTCACTGTGAAGCGAGCCCCAAAACTCGGAGCAATCAGGCGCACCGAGTAGAAGACCCTTGGGACCAAACTTCTTAAGGACCGGAAGGTTGTTCTTCACACGGATGCGGCCCGGTCCTACAAGGCCAAAATTGCAGGTGTCATTCACGACAAGGTGGTTCATGCCAAAAACGTGTGAAGCGGAATGGCAAGTTCATTTGGCAGCATCGGAAACAGGGTCGCTTCGGACCCCCCAAGAGGTGTCACTTCCGACCCCCCACAACCCGGACAGCCCGGACAACAGCCCGG